GGGATTGACTGCTTTAATCCCGCAGCCGCTGCCGCGCCCGCTCGGCCCGCTCCGCCGGGGAGGAACCGGAGCCCAGTGACCGCGCCAGGGCCGCGCAGCGAATACTCGTCCCACTCCGGCCCTCTTGCTCCCTCTCCGCCGCATCGCATCCCGTGTCGCTTCCGTCCTCAGTCCCGCCCTTCTCTTGGGCGAACAGGTGAATCTGGATGTGTGGGGTGGAGGCAGAGGGAGGCCGGGGAGGGACAGGGCAGCTCCAGCGGGCGGATCTGGCCTGTCCCCACCCCGTCGCCCCGCTCCTGGTCTTTTGTGACTATAAAAGCACCAGGCGCTGGCTGCAGATCATCCAGCTGATAAGAAAAGCAGAAACTGAAAATTCCCTGGAAGTCCGTTCTCAAAAAATAAAGTTGGTCCTTGTTCTCCCTTCGGACCTCTTCAGAGGGCGCCCCGCCCTGCTGAGCCCATGTGCAGCCACATAGAACGACCCTTTGTTGTGGACGTTCAGCTATTTTCTTCTTTTAAGAATGACTTTTATTTAACTTTATTTATTTATTTATTTATTTTAATTTGACCAGAGAAGGATGAGTGAGAGGGAGAAAGAGAGAGGGAAAGTGAGAAAGCAAGCTGTCAGGTCCAGGATTCCAACCTTGGTCAGCCATGTGGGAGTCAGGCACCCTTAACCACCACGCCACCTGCCGGCCTGATACTGGGGTATTTTCAAATTTTAGCTATTAAAATAGTAAAGTATTCTAAAGAGTTCTATTATGGAAAGACTAGGCTACATCAATAGAAGTGAGAGAGCTCTCCCAACAGCTCCCCCCCTTGTTGACCTTTGACCCCAATGCCCCCTCCCCACAGCCCTCTCTGGTCTGTCCTCTGCTTCTGGGCTGTGGTGTGGTGGGGGGACCCCTGGCTTCACCATGACAAAGGACACAGCCTTTGGACTCAGGTGCACCCAGTAGACCACACCTCTTATCTAGCGTGTGGCAGTCCCTGTTGCTGGCTTCTAAGACTGAGATAGAACAAACCCTAAACGCACACTCAGTGAATCTACCTCGGGAGCACCCCAAAGTCACGGCCCGGATCAAGACCTTGGCCTCCACAGAAAGCCCGGGTGCTTCCCAGTCGAAAACCCACCCCACGTCTCACTATTTTGATTTCTTTCTTTTTCTTTCCTTTTTTTTTTTTTTTTTTTTGAGAGGTTTTCGCTATAGGACGTGTGTGCTCGCCAGACAGAGAGAGACATAGAGACAGAAAGCGAGAAATCACCCCCCGGGGGAATGGTCACGCCGCAATCCCTTCTCCTCCATTCTCCTCTCAGGATCTTGGGCACACATGCACACGCGCCCGGCATGAGTTCTAAGCCACCAGGTCTGGGACGCGAACCACGGTGGACTACGTGGGAGTCCAGCGACATAGCCATTACGCTAACTGCTGGTTCCCACTATTTTGATTTCTTTTACTGTGGGTTAGATTTTCTGCTCTTGAACCTCGTTTAAATGGAATTACACAGTATGGCTTATGGCTCTTTTTCAATTTTTTTTCCCCTTTACAATCACTTTACTTTTTGAGAGATTTTAGCTATAGGGGACGTCCACTCACCAGAAAGAGAGAGACAGAAAGTTAGAAATTCCCCCCCTCCCGGGGGATGACTACACTGCAAACCCTTCTCCTCCATTCTCCTCCTGGGATTTTGGGCATACATGCATATATGCCCGGCATGAGTTTTAAGCCTCTGGGTCTGGACACAAACTGCTGTCAATTACGTAGGAGTCCAGTGATGTGACCAGTATGCCACCTGCTGATCCCTAAAATCGCTTTATTAAGATATAATTTACAGATAGAAAAATGAACCCATTTTTAAATGTATAGGTTGGGGAACAAGCAGATGGCATAGTGGTTATGGACTCCCACACAGTTGACCACAGTTCAAGTCCCAGACCTGGCAGCTTAAAACTCATGCCAGGGGACCAGCAATTAGCATAATGGCTATGTTGCTGGACTCCCATGTAGTCGACTGCGGTTCGAGTCCCGGACCCAGTGGCTTAAACTCACACCAGGCACGTGTACGTTCGTACCCAAGATCCCCAGAGGAGAATGGAGCAGAAAGGATTGCAGCGTGGCCATTCACCCGGGGAGGGGGGTGATTTCTCGCTTTCTGTCTCTCTGTCTCTCTCGTGAGCACATGTGCCCTATAACAAAATCCTCTCCAAAACAAACAAACAAAACCTCATGTCAGGGGACCAGCAACTAGCATAATGGCTATGTTGCTGGACTCCCATGTAGTCAACTGCAGTTTGAGTCCCAGACCCGGTGGCTTAAACTCACGCCGGACGCGTGTACGTTCGTACCCAAGATCCCCAGAGGAGAATGGAGCAGAAAG